ATTAGACAGGTATTACAAAAGTTCGAGTTAGCTGGAAGAATAATAGTTTGGACTATTGAACCATTTGAACTTGATATAACATATGAAAGTTGAGGATTAATGAAAGCTCAATTTTTAGTCGAGTTCCTCATTGAACTTCCACCTCAAGGGGACGATGGGTGGATTTTATATGTAGATGACTCTTCAAACAACAAAGGTGGTAAAGTTGGAATCCTTTTGGAAGGTCGCAATGACATATTACTTAAACAAGCTCTTAAATTCAATTTTTGAGCATCTAATAATAAATCGATTGAAAACTTGCAAGAGAGGTGTGAGTTAAACAACTTCACTACAAAAGTGATTAAATGTTGTTAATATCAGAACAAATAAATGGAAAGTTCTAAGCTAAAGAACCTTTCATATAGAAATATTATTATATAGCCAAAAATTTGGTAGAAAGTTTTGTCCAGTTTGAAATAGAACAAGAGCAAAATGATCGAGGCAATAACCTCTTAAAACTTGCTAGTACAAAGAAGCCTAGTCAATCCAAAACATTAAGAGCACCTATCATGATTTATTCCATATTTATTCTACTAAGCCAACATGGCTGACTACCATTGTACAATATTTGAAAAATAGAGTACCACTGAGTAATCCTGAAGAAGCTCAAAAAATGAGAAGAACTACGACATTCTTTGTCTTACATAATGGAAAGTTATTTAAGAGAGGCTTCACAAGTCCCTTGGTAAAATGTCTAGACCAAGATCAAGTTGAGCATGTGATGATTAAATTGTATAATGACATATGTGGAGTTCACTTTGAAGTTAAAAGTATGGTACCTCAGATACTCCAAGTTGGATATTATTAGCCGACCATGAAAAAGTATGCAAAGAAGTTTGTAAAGAAATGTCAAGCATGTCAAAAATTCAGTATAGTATATAAAGCACCCCTTCAGTATAGTATAAATGGGGTATCAATATAGTCGATCCATTCCTTGTAGCAAAAGGACAAGTAAAATTCTTTTCCATTGCAATTGATTATTTCACTAAGTGGATCAAAACCTCTAACCACTATCATAGCTCAACAAATACAAAAACTTGTCAGGAAAAATATTATATGTAAGCATAGAATCCCACATATAATATTAATATATAATGGAAGACAATTCATTAATAAAATTTTAGAAAATAGTTCTTAGAAGGATTGACCGTGAAACACCTAATGAAATCAGTGGAACATCCTCAAGCAAATGGACAAGCAAAGCTAGGAGGTGTTGGGCCGAAGAAATTTCAAGTATAGTCTAGGGATATCATTGCACTCCTCAATCATTAACACATAAACTCCTTTCCGCCTCATTTATGGTATTGATGCCATGATACCAAGTAAAATAGGGGAAGAATCTTGGAGAATAGCAAATTTCGATGAAGGTCATAATGATGAAAATATTCAAGTCAAGTTGGACTTGGTAGGTGAAGTTCGAGACTATGCTCATATTAAATAATAGATCATTAAAAGGTGACATGAGAGAAGATAAATACAAAATTAATAGAAAGAAATTTTTAAAAAGAATATCTAGTATGGAAAAGTTTACAAAACCTAGCATATAGAAAATTAGCATCAAACTAGGATGGCCCATACCGAGAAAAAAATCATTTCAAAATGGAGCATATAAACTACAAGAGTTGTCTAGAAAAATTACACCTCAAACCTGGATTGTATCCCATTTAAAGGTATACTACAACTAAGGTAAACAAACATTTCAAACTTAAGCAAAATTATGTGTTTTATGTCAATTCCACTTAGCAAAAGTTAATATGAAAGTTGTAGTTGTCACAACTTGCCAAAATATTTGCTTAATACCAATCCACATAAAACAAAGCTAATGTGAAAGGGTGTAACTACTATAGCTTGCCAAAAATATAAAATATCTTAGCCTATTTACCTAGCACGAGGCTAGAGTGAAATGACGTAACACGTCATTATTTAACGTAACTATCGCAATGCATCATTATTAGACGTAGCTATCACAATACATCAATAAGATAAAGTCATCATAGCTCATCTTAAATAAATAAAAAGTTAAATCATCTTTATCTAATCTGAGTTATATGTTAAAATCGAGCTAAGATTTATATGAGATATATTCATTAGTTATATATCATATCAAATCGAGTTAGATTTTATCCAAGATGTGTTCATTCAAATCATACAAAAGTTGATAATTAAACCAAAATTACATTACTAAACATAATGTTGTTCAAGGTACAAAAGATGTAAAATATTACAAAGGTTCAACCATTAACCAATTGTTGTCAAGAATAGATTTTCCCATATTAAATAGTTTGGTATTGATTCTCAAGTTGATCATAGTGGTATCCTCCATCACCTTCTTAAAATCATCCTTGAACACCTTCACCAACTATTCCTCAACCAATCAAAGCTTGGTCACTTGTTTATGAAAGCCACTTGTAGCTCAACAACCTCAACTTCAGTAACTTCTACTAGGGGTATCAAAATAGAGTTAGCTTGAAAGGCTTGAGAAATAGATCTGGCTAGGCAAAAAAAATTTATGACCTAAATTGAATCATGTCTATTTTGCCCTAACCTATTTAGGTCATAGCCTAGATGAACTTAGGTCAGTCTAGCACGTAGGCTTAAGGCTAGTTGCCTTCATATAGACACATTAATATTTTTTTAATTCTCAATTAGGCTAAAATTGGTTTGTTAGCCCATTAACCTAAAATATATTCAAGTTAAGCCAAACATATGGCTCGTTTAAACATATAGATCATGCTAACCTATCAATATTGTTTACATGGTCCATAGGCTAGGCTAGGTTGGGCCGCCCGATTTGACAATCCTAGCTTCTGCCCTCTCCTAGTCGCCTTGGCCTCTAACTCGACAACTTTTGCTAATCTCTCTACCTTCTTAGCTATTACATTCGAAGATGCATCTTGAGCTTGAAGTTTATCCACTTGTAGAGCAAGAACTTGGTCCTCCTTAACCCTAGCCAAGAGGGATGCCTCATGATAAAAAAGAGCTACTTGAAGTCGGTCCCTCTATTTCTTCAATGCTAGGTCTCCCTTACCCTTTGTCCTTCACCACAGTGCATATCAGAAACAATGTTCTTCCAATGGTGAATTATTGATATACATCAACCTAACAACATTTCGTTCAATCTAGGTAATTCATGGGACCCACCATCCTGAACTTTCGCACATCATGCGAGTAGGAAAAATAATTTTTTTGAAAATTGGACTGGACTCGATGGGTTTAATCGGTCTAATCGGGAATAAGTCTAGAAATTTTTTTGTTGCTTTCAAATAATTGAATATTAATTAAACTGGTACAAAATTAGAAAATTGGTTAGGTTTTTGGTCAAACTAGTTTTGGTAAAAAGGAATTAAAGATAATTTTTTTAATATATTTTTATAAAAGATATAATATATTTTAATTTTTTTCTTTGTTTTTAATCTCATATTTAGTTACATCAACTTTAAATAATAGTTATTTTACTATATTTTCATCTTACTTTAACTATTATCCATCTTACACTCTTTAATAGATTTTATATCTGAAACCTTTATTATAGCTTATGAAACCTTTATCATAACTTATGGTGACCATGATAGTAACTTTTATTACTTTTTCTTTTATAAAGATGTTGTTCCTAATGAACTTATTATATATTTGTTATATAATAAAAATATTATTTTATTAAATCTGGTTGTATTCCAGTTGAACTTTTAAATCCATGTCTTCATTGGTCTCTAAAAAGGGGTGTAGGACGTAAAAAGGAGTGTCTTACACATTTAGGCTGCCCACACATGTATCCTATGTATCCAAGCTCTCTTTTCCAACAAAAAGAGGTGATATTCTTCAAAAAGAAGGTGGAAAAAGTGAGCCTACAAAAGGAAAGTGAAAATAAGTAAAAAAAAACATAGGAAAAGAAAATACTTAGTAAATTAAAAATGAAGGGTAAGGAGGAAGTCTCCCTTTTAGTCGTGTTTCTAGTGATCCTCCTAGGGTGACCTCTTCCGTCTCCGGGGCAACTAGGGACTCATCATATGTAATTAAGACATTTAATTATTTATCATTAACATAATTTTACTTAAAAGGAAATAAATATCTATGTATCTAAATTATAACTTAAATTATAAAATTTAACTAATTATTTTATATTTTTCGTACAAATGATAAATTAAAAATTATAAAGATTTATTTATAAGAATATGTTGAACACAACACAAATTCACTCATTGAATTACCTTTAGAAAAGCTCATTCTAGGGTCAATTTGCTTAGTAAGTAAGCAATCTACTGAGAAAAAATGTTGAAGACGGTCAAACTAACCTAACTCGAAATTTTATTGAGCGAAAATATTGAAGATGATCAAACTCATTTTCGTTTTCTCTTATTCTTCTCCTATTTTTTTATACTTTCTTTATTGTTTTCATTGTTTTTACTATTCTTCATTATATAATTATGTTTTAATTCGTTTTATGATTGGTTTACCGATAAAAACTTATTTTCTTGTAATTTGTAATTGGTTCTAACGATTCTAACTTATTATAATCCATTATAATCAATGTAGTTAGGATTATTTAATTGAATGTTTGATTTTATATTACAAGTCAATTTCTAGGTTTAAGTGATTACATGATCTAGAAATTAAGTTGTGTTTTAATTCAATTGGATTATAATTGTTCATAATTGTTATGGATTTGTTTTGTGCTTGTAAGTAAGTTTAGAAATAAATGACAATCATATGAATAAGTTAATGATTGGAGAATCAACCTATGTTTTGTATAGGATTTGAACATTGTTTTTACTACATAATTGTAGTTTCAATATTGTTTTCTAGATTCAATTTCAAATTTATCTTCTTTTAATGTTTTTCAATCTTTAAATTATTTCTTAGAATATAGTTCTAATGCTTTCATTTACTGCACTTCATTTACAAATTTATTCATTAATTTTCTACGTAATTCACATGCTTTGATAGGTAGATAGTGTAGGTTTATGTTTTGCACAAGTGAGACTTTAGTAATGTAGATTTACTGCATTTGATTTACATATCATGTCTTTTACAATCTTTTATTTACTGTTTTTTATCTAATAATTAATGTTTTTCATAGACTATAGGCTTATTGCTTTCATTTTATTGTTTTACATATAAAAACATCTAAATCCCCCTTTCTCCTAGCCTTTAACACTTGAAAATCAAAATTTACACAACAAAGACCAATCCTCCACAAGGATGCGACCTAGGCTAATCCTAGAATTGCATTAACTCTAATTATGGCATATTTTATCACATCTAGGAGACAAGGTAGACATTGATCAACCATCACCAGATCTCATCCCTTTCGTGGTCACGTTATCGTGTGACATAAGAGTCCACCTTGGGGTTATTAACCGAGATATGTTCCAATCAGTGGACCCTCCATTTCGTGTAACACATATGTCATTGAATGAGGGGGAATCTCATGAAGGACCCAAGGCCAAGGAGAGGTCGGTGAAGTAGGAACAGAAGTAAGGATATCAATCTCTACTTCCTCAATTTGTTGCAATGGTTTGTTGTTATTGAACTTCGAAAAAAGGGTATCGATCTACATTCAATACTTTCAACCACTCAGGAGCATAGTCATCACCCCCAACAACTACACCATTACTAAGCTTGGGTAAGGATGATAAAACAAGTTAGTTCACCACATCGCTAGCACATCATAAACAGGATGAGGCGAGCTGACTCACCATAGCTAGGATGGGTTATAAACCCCGAAACGTCCTGCCAAGGGAAAACTAGTAGACTACCAAGCCAACTTATCAAATTTTTTTATATTAATTTTTTTAAATGTATTTTTTAAAATAAACTATTAAGTTTTTATGTTTTTATTCATTAATTGATATTTTTATTAGATAAATTAAAAAATTACTATATTTGTGTGTTAAATACCTAATTATAATTAATAATTTAAGTGTAATTAGTTAATATTTAAAACTTAAATTATAATATTATAGTATATTTGTATATTTCAAAAATATAACAAAAAATATAATTATTTTAATTATAATCTTTTTTATTTTTATTTTAATATATAAATATTTTTTTTAAATGGATTTATTTGCCCCCTCCCCATCCTCGACCGACCGGGAGCTAGGTGGGGTGAGCCAAAAATAGGTTGGCATGCTAAAACTACCAACCCGTTTCACCAATTGTGAGTTGTCATCCCTGAGCTTGAGACGAGTCTTCTTGTAATCAAATTTACATCCCATAATTTTTCTAAAAGAAATCACACATTAGACAACCAAGGAAACCAATACTTTTCAAAAGAACAAAAATCAAACATGTCTTACCAAGAACCGAGCTCTTGGGTCCTGGACAAGGGAAAACATAAAATATTCTGACAATTAATTAAATGAGGTAGACTTGATCAAATTTTGATATCAGCTTTATCCTTGGGAGATGATAAATACTCGACCTAGGACTTGAACTTATGAAGAGCCCACCAATATAAGGAAAAGTGTGGTGCATAATTAGGATTTAGGAAAAGTCTTTGAGTTGAATCGTCTTGAGCACATTTTACTTTAAAGAAACAATATTTAAAACATTTGAAAGAGAATGAGTACACGACAAATAAACCACCATGTTAAGACCTATTAAAAGATACCCAATCGATCTCTTGATCATGCTCCAATTAATAAAAATATATGAATTCATTCAACTGTATAGGACAAGTTCAAAATGTCACATAAAATTTTAAAATCCTAAAAAAGGTTCAACTATTAAGATGAAGTTGACTAGGAGTAATGCACAAAATGAATAACATCACATTCAAAATCTATGCATAAAACAAAAATATCTAAATCTTTAAATAAACACTCATACACAAAGGTAAAATTCTTGGACTTTGAAGAGGGTTTCATATAAATGCGATAAGAGGGCTAACAAGCTTGACAGTTATCAAGTCGAATGTGAACAGATGCCATATATTTTAAAAGACATATTAGTGAGAATAGAGGAATAATGATCCATCTCATCAATCTAATGGTGTCGCCGCCGTCTCAAAGGAGAGAGAAGGTCGGTCGGAGCGACGCGATGGTTTTTTTGACCCTTTTTGATTTTCGCGTTTTTATGGGTGGTTACAACGCCTTTAGGTTGTCCGATAACCGGCCTAACCTAGGGGCGAGGTTTTCGAAAAGTGTCCTTGGGTTGTCCGATAACCGGGCTAACCTAAGGACTTATTTATTTTGGGTTATGTGGAGTCGCCACCGATGTTTTTACCGGAAACATCGGAAAAGGGTTTTTTTAAAAGGCGTTGGTTTTCGAAAACCAACTTTGGTCATTAGAACCAGAGTTGGGTAAGGGAGTTAGTTACGTGGTAAAGGAAGTATTAGTTTCTTTACTACGCCCCTTTCGGGTTCCCTATGATAGGCCAGCTTTTATTGTTAATAAATAAACTGGAAAAATACTCTTTTGCCCTTTTTATTGTGCGGAATTTAAAGTGATGACTACATGGCCCTAATCTATTGCGTAATTTAAATTAAAGCAGTAAAAGTAGAGAGGGAGAAGTTAAACCTCCGAAGCAAGCTTTGTTTTTATTTCTTTTAAAGAAATGGGTGTTTTTTGGCAGCCCTTCACTCTACAAGACGCCGGAAACTCTTCTGGACGCCGAAAAATGCTCTTAAAGACACTCAGAAACTCCGGAAATGCGTCGGAGGGATTCTAGAGAGAGGTTTTTAGAGAGAAGGCAGAGCTAGGAGCTTGTGGTGTGTGGAAATGAGGGGGGGAGGACCCCTATTTATAGGTTTTCGCGCTGTCAGGTGGCAAGACCGCCGGTCTCGTCTGACAGGGTCGAGACCGCCGTCTCGTCCAACGAGACCGCCGTCTCGACCTGTCGAACGCGGCGAGACCGCCGTCTGGGGAAACGAGACCGCCTTCTCGCCTCATGCAGGTGGCGAGACCGCCGTCTTGTCAAGCGAGACGGCGGTCTCGCCACTTGCATGAGGCGAGACAGCGGTCTGGGCAATCCAGAGGACAGTCTCGTCCCAACGAAGCGAGAAAACTTATTTTTTTGTACAGAAACTCCCTCCTATCCTAGTATGGGGCCTAATAGTCTCTCCTAATGGCTTGTTAGGCTTTGTCCATCTTCAAATAGGAGGTCTTCTGGTCTTTTATTTGGAGGTCGGGCAAGATTCGGGGTCTACAAATGGAAATTGAGTCTTCCAATTCTCCCTAATGGAGCTCAAATCAACTTCAACCATCATTTTATAGGTCTTTGTCCCATGATGTTTAACGGTACCACCACAACGGTCATAACCACTACCGCAAGAGGAAGAAAAACTCTTTCCTCCATAGAAATAGAGTTTTATAAACTCTCATCTCTAGTATAATCATGACCAATAGGATGAACCCCATGCTCACCCACCAAAGGCCTTACGAAAATAGAGCAGCTAAAGCCGTCAGAGGAGCCAAAAACAAAAGACATGATATTGAAAGTTAGAAAATCAAAGCATGCATATAAGATTAGAAGAGAACATAAAAAGAAAACTTGAAGAACACTTGAAGGAGAAGGAACTCAAACAAGATGCAATGAAGCAAAAATGGGATAGTGAATGTAAATTATTCATGATCTATGTATTTACCTATTATTGAACACAACTTTTTAGGTAAAATCTTGTGATGGTACATTAATTATCAACACAACATTTGCAAAAAATCCTCATTAATGTATGTTAGAAGTAATCATTATATATATAAGAAGTTGAAAAGGTCACTATTAAAGATGGACAAAACATGGGTCATGAACACAAGAGTGCCCTCGACTGAGCACTAATTCGGTAAAACATTACAACTTGACACTTAAATCAAACTCATTCTTGTACACTACCGAGACTTTGAGCTTAATGAGCTTATGTATCTATCCAAATTTTCATTTTCATTACATGTAACGAAAATACTCTTTCAATTATTTCCTTTAATGCATATTATGGTAATGATACCTAATTAATATACTTTGTTATGCAATTACACATAATATTACACTAATAAGGTAATAGTCAACATTAAACAGATATAACTAATTACTTACATACCTTGATAAGAGTCTTATAAATAAGATTACTCTATTATTTTGTTGTCACCTTTATATATATATATATATATATATATATATATATATATATATATATATATATATATATATATTCTCTGCTTTTTTCATCTTAATACTGACTTAAACATTAAAGTGATTACACAAGTAAATCTCCTATTATTTAGCCTAACAAATTTTAAGATATTAATTATTCACATTGATTTTGTCCACTCCACCAATCTTATTATTTATTAACAACGCTAGATTTATGAGGGGCCACCAAGGGTCATGTCGCCGCCATCAAAAGAGGCGGTCGGAGCGACGTGATGGTTCTGACTTTCCATTTTTCGCATTTTTTATGGGTGAGGTTACGGCGCCTTTAGGTTGTCCGATAACCGGGTTGAACCAAAGGGTGAGATTTTTGAAAGGGTGTTCTTAGATCGTCCGATAACTGGGTTGACCTAAGAACAAGTTTGAAAGGGTTCTTATGGAGTCATCACCGATGTTTTTACCAGAAACATCGAAAAAGAAAAGAAAAAGGCGTTGGTTTTTTAAGAAAAGCTGACTTTGGTCGTTAAAACCAGAGTTGGGTAAGGGAGTTAGTTACATGTAAGAGACGTATTAGCTCCCTTATGACGCCCCTTTCGGGTTCCCTATGACAGACTAGTTATTTTATAAATAAACTTTTGAAATAACGCTTTTACCCTTTTATTTGCGGAATTAAAATGATGACTACATGGCCCTAATAGCTATTGTGCAATTTAATATAAGTAAAAATAACAGTAAAAGAGAAGGAGAGAGTGAAGAAACCTTCGAAGCAAGCTTTTGATTAATTCTTGTAAAAATTAGGGTGCGTTTTGGCAGCCCTTCGCTCTTACAACGTTGAATTCTCTCTCGAAAACGCTATAAAAAGCTCTCTTAAACACTCAGAAACTTCAAAAATGCTTCAGAGGGGTTCTAAGAGAAGAATTTTGAGAAAGTGCAGTAGGGTAAGTGGAAGAACTGTGTGAAATGAAGGGGAGAGTGCCCCCTATTTATAGGGATTCGCGCCTGTCAGGTCGAGACGGAGGTCTCGCCATTCGGGACGGCGGTCTTGACTTGGATAAGTGGCGAGACGGTGATCTCGTTTGGCGAGATGGTCGTCTCGACTTTCCAGATGGGGAGAGGGTCGTCTCGCCAAATGAAAGGGGGGTCTTGACTTGCCATTGGTCGAGACGGCAGTCCAGAAAAGCGAGACGGCGGTCTCGACCCCTGAATGCAGAAATCCTTATTTTTCGCATAGAAAAGTCTTCCTACTCTAATATGGGGCCTAATAGTCTCTCTTAGTGGATTTTTAGGCTCTGTCCATCTTCGAATAAGAGGTCTTCTGCTCTTATTTTGAGGCCGGGAAAGATTTGGGGCCTACAACTGCCCCCCCCCCCCTTCACCT